TGCTTATGAAATTTCCCAAACGGTCTGAATTAACTTAGGAGTCTGCTTTCCCCACCAGACTTCTCTGGACTTGATAGACGCTGAACCACTCTTAGGCTCAAGGGTTGCAACTCATTCTTCCTTTTGCTGGGACAACTTCGGAGCGTTTTGAAAAGCAGGTAATGAGTTAACATGTGAACAGTTTCATGTATTATTACATGCCCAACTGAAGTTGGAGCCAATTTCTGAAACCATAATTTGAGCTTAGAAGAGCCACACTTCCAAATTCATGGATCTCCTTGAGCCACATCTGAGTTACACTAAATGAAGGACATCCTTGAAATGAAGTTTTTTTTTTTTAAAGACTTCACTTTTATGAGGCTAGTCAAGGGGGACGAGGTGACATAGTGTTTTATGGTCAGTCGTACCTCTGCGTCCATGGGCTGACCGACCACCTCACGACCTGAGAAGTAGCTGTTCCACTCCACGTGGCATTACGGCAAGGCCCAAAGTGGCCAGAATTCTGCCCTCACCAAACTGTCTTCCATCGCTGACCATTGTGACTAAGGGAAAGGAGGAATGAGTTGCAACCCTTGCTCCTAAGAGAGAATCAGCATCTGTCAAGTCCAGAGAAGTCTGGTGGGGAAAGCAGACTCCCAAGTTAATTCAGACCATTTGGGAAATTTCATAAGCATACATAGCAATGTAGAAAAGGTATGCAGGACTCTACATTACTGTAAAAATGAAATTTGATTTTTTCTGAGGAACCTGGAACCCAGCACACTCCCTGGGCTGGGGGAAAGAAAGCTGAGTGTGGGAAAGTAAGGGAGCTAGAGCAAGGCTGCAGCTCAGGGGCAGAGCGGAAATCTAGCACGCAGAAGGTCCTAGGCTGGATTCTGGAGCCAGCACACCTTGCCCGCTGCACCTGTCTGTGGACCCTCCGTGCCACCAAAGCCACTCTCCTTGGCACACACGCCCTGTACTTTCCTTCTACATTGAGAGAAAGGTTCCCCGATGGCTTTTACGATTTCGGCTTCACATTTAGCAACGACACATTTAGACTCTCCACTGGTATCCGTGTCCTCCTAAACTATCATTTGAGAGTAATACAAATACAGTGATTCTGGGCAAAGTGTAACGGACCATAACTTCTAAAAAATGTCATAATCACCCCATGAAAACCAAAATCCACAAAAAACAAAACTAGGTGTAGTGAAAGTACAAAAAAAAGGCCAAGGAGGCCCCCAAACGGAGGGGCCGTCTTCCCTGAATCACAACGTTCTCTGAGGCAAACGATGACAGCAACCGACCGGAGGTCAACGTCTAACCTAGAGGTTCCTTTTTTCTGGTTTTTCACTTGATGACCACTTAGGGCCAGGTGGGTTACCGCCTCTATAGTGGACTTAATTATCAACATGATCCTGTGCACGATACGCAGTTTCATATCAGACTGCTCCTCTGTCAGAAAAACGGAGGGGCTTAAGGAAACGTGCAGAGAGGCCCTAAGTCCCATCAGTCCTGGAACACTGACCACTAAGTAAGTAACTAAATCAGTAAAACCAGTCTATAAATATGAAGCTTTATGGTTACCCTTAGTTACTTCACTCTTTCGGAGCATAATGCAGTCTGTCCCGAGGCCAGTGCTTTATTTCTGTAGTGGGCTCTGCTGTCCTATTTTCTGTATCGTACATCACACATTATGTTGCTCTCGTCATCTCCTTAAGATGCTCCACTAGTATTTTTACTTGCCTTGAAAAATGCAAGTGGGCAGTAATGGAAGGGAGGGCCTGCTGGCTGAAGCTTTATTTAATTCGCGCAGCAGAACGTTGTCTTAGGAGCCTTTCTCCTCACCAGGGCTCCAAACTCCAAGAGGAGACGAAAAAGAGCCGCTCCTCAGATCACCCCTCACCTCCCGATGGCTATAACGTGTTCTCAGAAAACGGCAGGAGAGTTTGGGGCTCTCAAAGGAGGGGTGCCCAAAACAAATGCTTTCGAGCTGCGATGTGAACAGTTCTGGAATGACAAAGCACGCTAATTGAAATTAGTCACACAGCGAAGAGAATCCAGGGGACGGACGATCACTGCAGCTCAGTGTGGTGTGGTTTTTGTGTTGTTTTTTTTTTTTTTGCCTTTCCGCCTCATGAATGTAAAATGTGCTTGTAATCTTAATACTCTTCCAGATAGAGCAGGCTTTAAATTCACACTTCACAAGACTCCAGGGAAAATAAGTTACTAATGAATGGTATTTACAGTGGCGGCATCTAAGCGTGCTTTCGTTTGCTTTTCTAAAGTTACTGTGTAAACTGCAGTAATTAAAAGACACGCAGAACGTAGTTTTCTCTGGTTAACTTTGGTTCAGGCAAAAAAAGAAAAACAACAAAAAACTGACTGATTACTGAAAAGCCCAGTTCACTGACTCTGCCTCTGAACTAACCCTGCACGAGGCGTGTCGTCCATCCTTGAGAGCTTTAAAGCTCTGCTGCGTCATCTGGGAAAAGCCTCATCCAGGGCACAGGGCCGGCGCTCAGCAGCTGTGCTTCCTGACTCGTCAGAACTGGAGTTCCCATCATCCCTGCCTCTTCGCCCCCCTCTGTTCCCGTAATGCCGAGCGTCGCAACCATTTTTCCCCCAAAGGAACTGTCTTGAGACTTTTGCTCCTCAAGCTGCACATTCCCCTCGTGACCCTTCCCCATCTGCCTGTGGATCGTGGCGCTTTGCAGGAGCATAGGCACACGCTGCACAGGTCTGTAAGGCTGAGGATCACAGACGTCAGATCCAGCTATAGCCTCTATCGTTTAAAGCTTACCAAGATTCCTTCAGCCTGTGGTCTAGAACAATCCAGGGAGGGTCAAATTCAGACAGGACCATTGGCCAGACTGAACCCCTGAGGGGCTGGAGGACTACCGGGCCCTCTAATGGGGCAGGGGGTACTGGAGAGTTCTCTGCGACTCAGGAGGCGACTCTGTGGTTTGGTAACTGAGACGTGCCCTAATTAAAAGGCCTGATGGATGCCAGGGCGGCCCTTGTAGCTCATATTTGGGTGGTAACCTCCCTCCTCGTCAATACCGGTGTCTTCATCCCCCGGCAGGGCTGGTTATGTAATAAGGAAGGTTTGCAACAAACCTTCTGCCTGCGTGTTACATAACCTCCAGCAATCTGCTAGGAACCTACAGAGTTTTCTCAAACACCTCTGTCGTGTGAACAAAAACAGTTTACTTTCCCAGAGAGAACCAAGCCCGCCCTCCCCCCTCCCGCGTGAAAAGATGGTAAAACAGACCCTAAAAGAAGAGGAAATAAAAAGCTCTGCTTTCTCTTTAAACCCGGGAACAATAGAAGGTCATGTGACACACTGGCCTATCATCCAGCACATTAATAGCTGTGCTAGAGTAATTACACTTGTGGTATTTTTGCCTCAAGTGAAATTCTGAAATAAGAGGATGGAAATTATGATACTGCTGATAAATATTAATAAGTGAACTTTTAATTTTTTTGCCACAATATTCAAAATGCTAAGCATCTTGCTAATGCTGAAGCAGCCCGATGTGTTTGCCTCCAGGGAGTACGATGCTTTGTGCACTTAAGAAAAAAGTTTAACGGAATTAAAATTTAATATCTAATTAGAGTGAGGCTAATATATTTTGAAATAAGTGGGGGAGACGCGCGCCTCTGCCCGGAGTCGGGACGGCCGTCAATCTTACCTGTAAAGCTGCATTGAGAGGTGTGCAGTAGGCGTGGCTGCTCTGCATGTTTTTAATAAGGGAAGGGTTACTGTGT